TCCAAAATCAATATACAATCGTGTACCCAATATAAAACCTAACCATCCATCAGGGTTATAATCTTTTTTCATTTTACATGGTACAATATGTTTTTTACGATTATGTGCATATTCAGCTTCTGATTGACAATTTGCACTTCGTTTATATGTGTCTGACATACACATAAGAATAAACTGAGCATTATCAACTGCATTTGCCTAAAGTATACAAATACGATCGATATTTATGTTGCAATCAAAATTGAAATTCGCTCAAATTTTAGAGATATTTAAAAGACTTTATGGAGCTTTACGGAACTTTATGAGTAGCGTCGATGCTATATCTCCTTAGATTTTACAATTTTTTTATCAAACAAATTGCAACTTCTTTGCCTAACCTATTTACCCCCTAATTTCTCAAGATTCTAGCTTAGAATGATACTTAGTCAAGCAAAGAACTCTTCTATCTTTAAAATGATGACTGCGTTCGCTATAAGACAGTTGCAAGTGAATGATACAAAAATGCATATCTTCACTGTTAGTCTCATTCTATTTTTATCCCGATGAGTTTAGAATTTGACCGGATTCCAGTTTTGACCGTAACATATACATATATAATCGTAAAACTTATTATTTCATACCATTGCTTGAATTGTTGATCCATGCATTTGTTCTTGACCAAGCCATATTGTATAGCCTAGTTTGTCGGTTAAATGATGAAAAATACGATGAGCTAAATCCATATCTGCCCATGAATATGATATCATTAGATCATATTGTTCTTCCTCTTCTTCTTCTTCAACACCACTTTCTTTCGCTTTCTGTTTTTTCTCTTCTCTTTTTCGTTCAGCTTCAGCATCTTGTTGTTTTTTAAATTTCTCTTCTTCTTCAACTTTCCAAATCAATCCTTCAGCTGCTTTTTCTAATGTCATATTTCCATATTCTGTTGCATGATGATAGATATCATTAACTCGTGTCATTAGTTTCAAATCTTGTTGAAGCATATTTATAACATGAAGATTATTGAAGGTATTTAACCAAAGAATTTTGAGAGCTTTTTCTTGTTGTTTGTCAGATTGTTTGCTTGAATCACCATCACGGATGAAAGAAACTAATATATTTAGACCATTTTGTTGAACAAATCTATTTTTGATTTGTTCATGTTGCATTAATACTATAGAATGAAAACAGTTTGCATGATCAATAAATTTATTATTATAGAAAAGAAAATGATACCTTTAAGACTTGCAAGAGTACTATCCATATTGGGATCGTACTCATTTAGATTAAGTTGTTTGAGATGATCAATAAATACACTAGTAATTTCATTTGGCTTTTCATTTATTTCTTTTTCATCCATAATTTCTGCAAGAATACTAAGTCCTAACTTCTGTTGTTCAGCATTTTCAGTGGATATATAATTGTAAAAGATTGAGGTTAATTGACGATTTTTCATAATTGTACGAATATCAGTATTTTTGGATAGATTATGAAATGCTTCTAATGTAACATTGATTAATTCTTGATC